GGGGGGGGGGGGGGGGGGGGGGCGAATTCAATTGTCGGGAGGGCGAGCAAAAATTTTCTAAGAAACGAACTATGAGCGATATCGAGTCTATTATACAGATGCTTTCAAAAAATCTATGTTTTGTAAGTTATATAAAAGTTATTAATTTCATTTATTCGAAATATATGCACAAAATATACAAAGAAGCAGCAAGTAATAAATATACCACAAGAATAAAAAACAAACTTTATTAGCAAAAGACAAAAAAATACTCAAAAATATAAGAACAATATAAAGTTCTATGATATAATTCAAATTGCTAAACGACGTGGTTTTACTTTTTTCCAGTAATTGATGATTTCCTCTTTCATTTCTTCATTTAAAGTATCTGCACCTTCGATTGAAATTTTCATTAACTGATTCACGTGTTCCGTTGTTAATCGATTTTTTAATTTTGTAAGAACACGGTTCATCGTTGAGAAATCTCTTTCAACTGTGGCCGTACTAGCAGGTGCAATGAGGAAGATTTCTGTAGCTAATGATAATTGTGGATAAATATCTTTTAACATTCCATCCTGAACAAGCTTCATACAAACTTCTCGTTGTGTCATGAATTTGCCACTTTTTTTTTGTGTTAATAAATATGTACGAAATGTTTTCCATTCATAGATTACTGATTCGTCAAAGTCACTCGAATAATGTTGTCGAATAGTATGTATTTCTTTATCACCATAATCTTTATTATTATTCATATTCTCCATATCAAATATCATAAAGCAATTAAGTCTATCAAGAGTACTTTGTTCAAAACGAGCTTGAATATTATTAATAATGTTTTCGATAAATGGAAGAATTTTTGTCTTGAAAACTTCATCAGTATTTAATCGTACATTTGATGTTGATGATCTTGAATTTCGAATTGTTAAAGATGTTAATGATAATTTTTGAATTGTTTCAATAATATTAACATAATCAATCGAATTATAATCTTTAAGCTGTTCAAGTCGAAGCATGGTTGATGATATAAAATCTTGTAATTGTTTAAAATCAGCTGCTTTTGTTTGAATCGATTTCGATAAAATAGCTAAAGTATCTAATATCGGTTGAAGTGTATGAAGAATAAATGAAGTTGTTTCATCTGATAAGATATTGTAAAGACCTAATGCTTCCGCACTTTCTTCGTTGCTTTCATTATAAATATGTTCTAGTGTTACTAATAATGATTGATAGGATTGTAAGAGAGATCGAATAGCTAATGAGTTTGAAAGCCAACGAGTATCACCTGGTTGAATTAATGTAATATGTTGGTTTCTAAAAATATCTTGAATATCTTCAAATAAAGTTAATCTTACTGATGATCGATTGATAAAATTAACTAATGATTTAAATGTTGATAAACTTTTACAAATATCTGGAATACCATCTGCAGCAGATATTATAGCTAATTGTAACGCATGAGCTCGACAATAAATAAATAATATTGCAAGATTGAATGCAGCACGAAATCTAGCAGCAACACCATTGTGTACTCCACTGAATACTGCAGCACCATCAAATGCAACAAAGCGAATTCTTTTTAAGTCAATATTTTTTTGTTGTAAATCCATTACAATGTAATTAAAAATAGATTCTGCATCTTTTTTTTAAATGTAATAAACTTATGTATGTTTCAGTTGGTTCCCCAGTTGTTTGATCACAGTATCTAATACAAATACATAAATTTCCGTGTCTATTAATGTCAGTTCCTTCGTCGGACATAATGCTAATAACTCTTGCTTGTTGTATCTTTTTGAGAATATTCTTTTCTAAAATTTCATTCGTAGCTTCAAGAAAGTCAGTGACTGATGTTGTGCTATTGTAAGTAGCATTTTTGTAGCAATTTCGAAAAAAGTCGACAAGTTTAGAACTATGATCAAGACGACCGATCAATTGCAATAATGGATTATATAGCGTTGTGTGTGGTAATTCGTTTTTGAAAAGAAAATAACAACAATCAAGTAAATCACTTAAACGATATCTATTTTCTTTTTTTTGTGCTTCACTTACCGTTAATATTTGATTGAGGATGGAACCTTCTTGCTGTCGAAACTTGGCGTTTTCGATCGCAAGTAGATGATATTCTGATCGAGAATGCTTCATTAATTTTCCATTATCACCTGGTGCTTTTTTCCAATTAATGAATGGAACTGAGGTAAATACACCTTTTATTTTTTGCTCCATATCTCGAAACAATGGTGTACCTGATTTCCAGTAGTTGCCGCATAGACTACAGAACCCACCAGCGTTTGGTTGATAAATAAGCCATGGGAATTTTTGTGAATACCATTTTTTGTAAGAACGTCTTTCAATTGTGTCATTGGTTGATATTGAATCTAATTTTAATTCAGAATTATTATCGATAGATTGTATATTATTGACAAATTGAGTATTATTGATGAGTGTCGTACTTATATTTGAGTTGTTATCAATGGATTGAATGTCACTTGCTGATGTGGTGTCAACAATTGAACCGTCGGGTTGACTTGCAATGGTGATTGATTGAGTAAAATTATTTTCATTTTCAACACGAGGTTTTTTTTTTTAATGTATTATTTTCATCATTTTCTTTCCTTTTTACGAAGTATTGATCAAGAGAACTTTGGTTTGACATTTTTAAAATAATTTTCTAGTGTTGATATAGTCTGAGAGATGAGATAGAAAAAAAATTATAGAATATGACAGTAATGACAATGAGTAAAATGAAAATGAAAGGGATGAGAGCGTGTTTATTTTAAATGTGACTGATTTTCTGAAGTTGACCGATGTAATATTAAAGTGACACATTCAAATAAAAATTGTTATTAGATTAATCTAACGCATATAATACGCAATGTTCTGTTGTTTGATTCTTAATTAAATTACATATATTCACATCTTTCAATTTATTGTATTATTCGTCCAATAAAAATGGTCTGATAAGGCGGACTAGTCATTTGATTGTTGAAAAAAATCGCTATTGTCTCATCATATTGATAGCAAGGATGTGCACATAAACAGTTTGAATATGATTGAAATCAATGATACTTGATAGTCAAATTATATTAAGGGAAATAAATTTGATGTTTTAATAATATATTTGTTAAAAATTTCTACAAAAATCTCCCATAAAAAATAGTTTTAGAGAATTATATTGATTTTATTTTTTTAAACTTGTTTAATTTTTCTCGGGGGGGGGGGGG